TCTCTACTAAAAATACAAAAATTAGACAGGTGCGGTTGTGCATGCCTGTAATCCCCGCTACCAGGAAGGCTGAGGCAGGAGAATCACTTGAACCTGGAGGCAGACGTTGCAGTGAGCACAGATCGTGCCACTGCACTCCAGCCTGGGTGACAGAGTGAGACTTTGCCTCAAAAAACAACAATAATAACAACAACAACAACAAAACTCCTGGCTACAAGGGATCCTCCCACCTCAGTCTCCCAAAGTGCTGGGATTACAGGTGCCAGCCACTGTGCCTGGCCATTGTCCTCTCTCTGTTTTTTTGAGACAAGGTCTTGCTCTTGTCATCCAAACTGGAATGCAGTGAAGCAATCATGGCTCAGTGAAGCCTCAACCTCTCAGGCTCAAGTGGTCCCCCCACCTCAGCCACCCAAATAGCTGGGACCAAAGGTGTGCACCATCACACCCAGTTAATTTTTAAATTTTATGTAAAGATGGGGTCTTGGTACATTGTCCAGGCTGGCCTCAAACTCCTGAGCTCAAGCCATCCACCAGCCTTGGCCTCCCAAAGTGCTGGGACTACAAGTGTGAGCCACTATACCTGGTCGACATTATCTCTTTAAAAAATTTTTAGCCAGGCGCAGTGGCTCATGCCTGTAATCCCAGCACTTTGGGAGGCCAAGGCGGGCAGACCACAAGGTCAAGAGATCAAGACCATCCTGGCTAACACGGTGAAACCCTGTCTCTATTAAAAATACAAAAAAATCTAGCTGGGTGTGGTGGCGGGCGCCTGTAGTCCCAGCTACCCAGGAGGCTGAGGCAGGAGAATTGCTTGAACCCGAGAGGTGGAGGTTGCAGCAAGCTGAGATCGCACCATTGGACTCCAGCCTGGGTGACAGAGTGAGACTTCGTCTCAAAAAAAAAAAAAAAAAAAAAAAAAAAAAAATTTTTTTGGCCAAGCATGGTGGCTCACACCTGTAATCCCAGCAATTTGGGAGGCTGAGGCGGGCGGATCACCTGAGGTCTGGAGTTCAAGACCAGCCTGACCAACATAGAGAAACCCCATCTTTACTAAAAATACAAAATTAGCTACGCGTGGTGGTGCATGCCCGTAATCCCAGCTATTCGGGAGGCTGAGGCAGGAGAATCGCTTGAACCTGGGAGGTGGAGGTTGCGGTGAGCAGAGATCGCACCACTGCACTCCAGCCTGGGCAACAAGAGCGAAACTCTATCTCAAAAAAATAAAATAAAAAATTTTTTTTCACATATACACTGATTGGATCCTCATAATAATACCAGAAGAGAAAATGGGCATCACACATTATACACAGAACTACCCCACTGTCACTTAACCCTAATAAAACTCAGAATAATCTCATTCCTCCCTTTGTTCCTATTTTTGTGACAAGAAGTCCAGGACTACTGGGATATCCCTCATGTTTAGCCTCCTATTCTGCAACATTTTACATGTTACCGTACCACAGTGGCCTTCCTAGACCACTGTGTATAAAACCACCCCTCTAGTTTCCTTTCCTGCTTTATTTTTCTGTAAAACATGATCACTGTAAAACATTGTATACTACATATTTCACTGTTTATACTTCTTTTTATAATTTATGTTTTATATATTATATATATGTTTTCTGGAGTATCATCTGAACTTCCCCATGAAAACATAAGCTCCATGAGGGCAGGGATTTTAGTCTTTTGTAATTGCTATATTCCTAGCAATTGAGGTCAGGAATTGTATGACAGTTAGGAGGCACTTAACAAATACTTGTTAAATGAATGTCTGGCTTGATACCAGTGAGAAGCAGAGAGCATATGACTCACCCAAAGTCTCCTTTGGCAACTACAGGTAAAACCCTCTCATTTATCATGTAAAGAAAATGGGAGCATGGGATTGGAAAGATAATCCCTTGAAAAGACAGAGGCTCTTATCACTCTGGGCTAGGGGACGTCTGTGTGTCTGGAAGGAGTTGGGAGACTGAAACAGTCTTATTCAACCCCATTCAATCCCAGTCTCACTCTGACCCAGAAGTCCTAGTGTACTTATTTTCCCCATTCACTTACTAATCCACAGGCCAGAGCTTGCTCAGGTAACAGGAAAGCAGCAAAGTCTTTCAACAGCTGAGGCCAGTCTTGGAGCAGAATTTGCAGGCTTTTGTAGAGATCTACAGCCGTCTGTCTCTGGGTACTTGACTCAAATTCATAGATGACTTGAAGGAAGTCTTCATACTTCCCAGGGATATGTTGTAGGGCTTCTCGTACCTACACGGGAAGACTTTCAATCATCAACACCCTTTATTTGGGCCACAACAAGCAATAAGGGTACAAGGGAGAAGGCAGGGTTATGGTTAGAGAGCTCCAAGAATTATCCCTCAGAGGCTGCACCTCCAATAGATCTTAACATCTGACTGTTAATGGAAGATACAGAGCAATAGGCAAGGTAAAGATCTTTTTCTGGGAGTGAGCAAGTAAAAAAACATTTTCCAAGTTCCACAGCTCTACCCACAAAACCAAGTAATGCTTTTCTCTGGGTTGCAGCCCTAACGTTTCCTTACTGATTACATCCTCATAATGAAATAGGTAACATGTGTTTGTACATGTATTTCAGTATGGGCATAATCTGAGAGTAAATAATACCTAAGTTAGGAATATCAGTAAAATATTAGGAGATAAGAAAAAGCTATGACTATCATTGCCAGTATTCTGCTTTCCAGGGGGATAAAGGAACCAGGTGGTTACCAACAGAAGGATATAGTTCTCCAGGACACTACCAAGAAGAGGTTGGCTTACGTCTTTTTTTTTTTTTCTTTTGAGACAGGGTCTCATTCTGTTGCCCAGGCTGGAGTGCACTGATGCAATTATGGCTCACTGCAGCCTCAACCACCTGGGCCCAAGTCATCCTTCCACCTCAGCCTCCCAAAGTAGCGAGGACTACAGGCATGTACCACCATGCTTAGTTGATTTTTTAATTTTTGTAGAGTTGGAGGTCTCCTATGTTGCCCAGGCTTGTCTTGAACTCCTGGACTCAAGGAATCCTCCTACTGTAGCCTCCCAAAGTGCTGGGATTATATGCAAGGGCCACAACGCCCAGCCTGGTTCATGTCTTTTTTTTTTTTTTGAGACACAGTCTCACCCTGTCACCAAGGCTGGAGTGCAGTGGTGCGATCTCGGCTCACTGCAACTTCCATCTCCCGGGTTCAAATGATTCTTGTGCCTCAGCCTCCCCGGTAGCTAGGATTACAGGCGCCTGCCACCACGCCCAGCTAATTTTTGTATTTTAGTAGAGACAGGTTTTCACCATGTTGGCCAGGCTGGTCTCGAACTCCTGATCTCAGGTGATCCACCTGCCTCGGCCTCCCAAAGTGCTGGGATCATAGATGTGAACCACCATGCCCAGCTGGTTCATGTCTAAAGAGCAATGTATTTCTCTGAAATCCACTTGCTGGCCAGTGTATCCACTGTCTTTCTTCTCAAGCCAAAGGTTCTATAAAGGTCCTTATCAGCCCACCTAATAAAGTCACAACCTCCCACTGATGATGGTGGTATCATTTTTCTGCCAATCTCTAGTAAACAGAAGGATGATGGCAGGGTATTAACAATAAACATACTTATGATTGAATTCTACGTCTCTTTGTGGTTCTGTCACAGAGATCTTTTGCCAGAAAAGCCAACATAGAGGAATATGATGCCTGCTGTATAGCCTGAAAAACAGACGTCATTTTTAAAAACATCTCCCTTGAAGAAGCAGCCACATTCACAGAGACTGGCAGTAACAGGAAGCAGCATTTGCCTACCCTGGTCAGATAAGCTTGGGCAAAGGCCAAGTCCTTCTGCTCCCTGAGGGGATCTCGTTCGAGAATGTCCTCATCATACAGCAACAGCAGCTTGGAGGTGTCCTTGCTGGCCCGAGCCCGACTTCCCCGCTTGTTGCGAGCTCGATGATTGTTCCGGCCCTTTCCAGCAGCTTTGATGCTCTCTCCTTGTAGCACACATGAAAAACATTGTTTCTCTGTCCCTAAACCCCTGCTCTTCCCATTCCACCACATGCACCACCCCAGCCAAATCCTATTCAATATTATGGAGCAAGTCAAGGAAAAGGTTGTTGGGAAAACAGTATGAGAAGTCAGTCTGTCAAGTCAGCTCTACGCAGAGTCTGCAGTGTAACTGCCTTAATTGGGATGACAAGATAATCAGCTACTTCACATTGAGAAAGGAAGTCTAAAGAGCAAGTGTGGCTTCTGTAGTGCTCTTGAGAGACTATGTCTGGATGAGGAACAAGCAGTGTTTCCTGAAATAAACATGGGTCTTAGCCCCACACATGACAGATAAGGTAACAATCAGTTTAACAAAGTGAACAGTCAGGTGCAGTGGCTCACGCCTGTAATCCCAGCACTTTGGGAGGCCGAGGCAGGCGGATTATAAGGTTAGGAGTTCGAGACCAGCCTGACTGACATGGTAAAACCCTGTCTCTACTAAAAATACAAAAATTGGCTGGGTGTGGGGGTGGATGCCTGTAATCCCAGCTACTCAGGAGGCTGAGGCAGGAGTTTCGCTTGAACCTGGGAGGCGGAGCTTGCAGTGAGCCGAGATCACGCCATTGCACTCCAGCCTGGGCGACACAGCAAGACACCATCTCAAAAAAAAAAAAAAAGAAAGAAAGAAAAAAAAAAGAAAGTGAAGGAAGCTAATATAAATCTAACAATGGATGAGAATCAAATTAAAAATTTCTGAGTATCTGTTCTCCCCAAAGACACCACATTAAACGTGTTTTGGGGGTGGGGGGTTCCAGAAGAGATCCAGAGGGTTTCCTCCGGAAATCCTCCACCTGGTTTATAAGCTATCCACTCTGCACACTGTCCTCTAGACAATGAGGTTAAGTGAGACTGGTCCTTCAGTATAGGCTTGCCTAACTCACCTGGTGGAGTTCTGCTGGTCTCCACTTCCGGAGCAGTCTCAGATGAGGCAAAAGTAGAAGGAGGCTTCTCAGCTGAGTCTCCAACTGCTTCATCCATCATTTCATCCTCTTTCTGTAGGCTTTCCATTCCTTCTGCTTCTTCTTCCTCCTCTTCTTCCGGCTCAGAGTTCTCCTCCTGAGAATTCTCTTCTTCAGACTCACCCTCCTGACTCATGCGCCTTTCAGATGCCAGCCAAGTCAGTTTCTCCATTGTTTCCTGTAAAACCCTCCAAAGAGTACTTATAATGGCTCTTAGTGGCTTATGAATTGTAGAACAGCACAAAGCTATATCAGGATAATCTAAAGTTAAACAATGGGGAGCCCACCACAGCTGTCAGAGGGGAATTCCCTGAGTTACGAAATCCCAGCAATGGGCCAGGTACAGTGGCTCACGCCTGTAATCCCGACGCTTTGGGAAGGTGAGGTGGGTGGATCACTTGAGGCCAGGAGTTCAGGACCAGCCTCGCCAACATGATGAAACCCCGTCTCTACTAAAAATACAAAAATTAGTCAGGTACGGTGGCATATGCCTATAATCCCAGCTACTTGGGAGGCTGAGGCACGAGAATTACTTGAACCTGGGAGGCGGAGGTTGCAGTGAGCTGAAATTGTGCCATTGCACTCCAATCTGGGAGACAGAGTGAGACTCCATCTCAAAAAAAAACAAAAAACAAAAAAACAAACAAACACACACACACACAAAACAAGACAAAAAAAAAGAAATCCCAGTGATAGCTGACATTCGGCCTGACAGCAGGAGAGGGGAAGAAGTTCCCTTTTACAAACTTCTGTAACCTGAAGATAGTTTTCAGGCTAGAGTGCGATGGTGCAATCTTGGCTCACTGCAACCTCTGCCTCCCAGGTTCAAGCAATTCTCCTGCCTCGGGCTCCTGAGTAGCTGGGATTATAGGCAGGCGACACTACGCCCAGCTACTTGTGTATTTTTAGTAGAGACAGGGTTTCTCCATGTTGGTCAGGCTGGTTTTGAACTCCCGACCTCAGGTGATCTGCCTGTCTTGGCCTCCCAAAGTGCTGGGATTTATAGGCGTGAGCCACCGCGCCAGACTATTTACACTTTTTTTTTT